AATAACGTCGAACGAATATTCGGGTCGGGGGCACGTGTCGCAACAATAATCCGTTTTATTTTCTTCCGCGAACACGACTTGCTCGTTTTGCGATCTCCACTTCACTCCCGAGCCGCACTTTTTGACGCGTGCTCGAACCCTTAGCTCAGGTCGCTTCCCGACCACTTCCACCCCCACGCTCCCTCCGATGACCGGCCGCCACTTCCTGCGTCTCAGATTGTAGTGCCTAGCCTGCACAGTGGCTACCTTTTGTAGGATTCCCCTTACGATGTCGAACACCTCCCGGAGTCGAGTGGCCTTCTCCTGGGGTGTGTGCGATCTTGTCGCGGACCCGGGTGTGGCCTCCTCGTATAATTACGCCGGCAGCCTTGGCTCTCGGACTTGTCCCAAGAACGCCGGCGAAAACTCCGTTGAGTCCACCACGCTAGTATTCACAGCCAGCTAGATCTCCGGTAACAGCTCGTCCCACGTATTCTGATGGCCGTCGATAAACTGGGCTATCATCGTTTTGACCGTGCGGTTCGTCCGTTCGGACGGATAAGGCGCCGTGTGCTGAACTTTCACCCCAAGCAACGCCAAATCCGACTTAAATAGCCGACTGACGAACTGCACTTTATTATTCTGTTGCGAACCAAACCTTTCCTGACCTTTGATTCTGGTCTTGCGGATTCCCGATCTGTCACACTTACGCTCAGTGCAATCACCGCGACAACGCGAGGGAACCAAAATTACAACACCAATACCTAGCCTCTGAGCTCTCTTTGGCCTATCTCTGTCTTCAGTCAACTACGACGTGCGCCGAGTGAAATGAAAGAATAGTCGCTTGCGACATACTTACAGTTATTTAGGCCCCGGAATTATCGCATCAACTACTGCCCTCAGGTCCCTGCTCGGGCGCCACTGGTAAAGGGGCTTTTGTAGGAAAATTGAGCTCAGTCTCTGCCAAACTTCCGTCCACAAGAAAATGTATCTTGGTGAAACGTAAGCGATAGCAGGCGATTCTCGGATCGATCTTACTGCTGAGAGATGATCACTTGGTATACAGTAATCTGTTCTCTCTGGTAGTTGCGGGTGACTTGTCAGGATTTCCGAGTGTCCAGACGAGGATAGTTTCCAGAGTTTTGTTTCTCTCATTCTGATAACTAAGAAAGTTGCTACCTTCTTTCCTATAAGATCTCCCTGAAGAATATGCAACATTGTATCCAGAGCATCGCTTGAAGTAGTACGATGCCCACCGGTAATACACAGCTCTGAACTCCATACGTCCGTTAGTTAAAACCGTTAATTTTGCGCCAAATTTTCAGGACTGGCGAACAATTTTTTTGATTCCACATTGGCTGGAGCAAATAAAACTGCTTAATTTTCCGGTTCGCAGCTTCGGAACTGTGATTTTCGGAGGGTTAGTCAATCAATTTTCGAATTGCAGCAGTCTGTCCAGGGTTCACTACAAGAAATTTTGCCAGTCTGACCGAAAGAGGGGAAACTCGGCTGTGGTGCTGCAGATGACTGGTGTTCTTTGCTGATGTCTTTTAAAGGTCGACCTTACTTGGTAACTGACTCGAGTGTCTTTTTGACTGCTGGTGAATCGACTGTTCTTAGTATTTGTTTGCGGACCGACTGCCCAGTGTAGTCTCCTGTATTTGGGCTGATGTACTGCCCTTTTCTTCTGTTGGGTCGGTGCTATTTAAACTCCCAGCCGGTGGGTGCTAAGTGTTTTTTTTTGCTTATCCGGCAGCATAGTGTCTTACTTATTGAAAAGGTGTTTTGCTTATCTGGTAAAATAGTTTACTTATTGTTCGTTACACTACACACACAAAATATAAAGGACCCAGGATATATTTTTTTCGACTTTTAATGACTTTTTAATACTCAAATTTTTTTTTAAATACAGCACAAAAATCATAATTTTTGCATTTGAAAGCCTACTATTTCCCAAACGGTAATCGAAAATCACAAAGTGTTTGGGTCTAATTTATAGCTGCATTTCTTAGCTTTCAGAATGGCAAACTTCATTACAACCAAATGTAAGAAACTTAAGACATGTAAGAGCTTTCAATAAATACCAGTTTTCCAAATTTCTTAAAAAAAAAATTTCTGCCATAGAAAAAAAAACATAATTCTTAAAAAAAAAATATATGCTCCCAATCCATGAGAAAAAGTCGGCTTGGTTCGAAGCGGATAATAAAGTTCAGTCTTTTCGAGTAGTCTTATCCATGTTTGGTTTTTCAGGCACACATCACTGAAATCTTGGGGCTCCAGGCTGTGGGACAAGGGACAGTGTTCTTCGGCAAATTTTTACAAATTCACCGCACCTATGCGGGCGATGCAAGGTTTGGGTATTCTTGAGCAGATCGCATGATGCTTCATCGTGCTGGTGCTTCTCAGGAAACTAGATCCAGCGAGTCATGCAAAGTGAGAGGAACGATCAGGCGATTTGAATGCGACAGGGCATTGAACCTCGGGCAATAATGGACTTGGTGAGCAGTTTCATTGCACAGCACGCAGTCAGATAAGGTTTGACTAGTGGTAACAAGTGTGGATTTGGTTTCCTACTACTGCCCACCTATGTAGAAATGGGTATGAAATTGACGATTGCCGGGACCCCTAATCGTTCCTTCTACTTTGCATGACTCGTTGGATCTAGTTTCCTGAGAAGCACCAGCACGATGAAGCATCATGCGATCTGCTCAGAGTACCGGCCTTGCATCGCCCGCATAGGTGCGTTGAATTTGTCAAAATCTCCCGAAGAATAGCCACTGTCCCTTGTTCCACAGCCTAGAGCCACAAGATCTCAGTCATGTGTGCCTGAAACACCAAACATCGATTTTTTTAAATTATGGTTTCTTTCTATGGCAGAACTTTTTTTTTAAAAATTTTAGAAAACTGGTATTTTTTTTAAAGCTTTTTTCAGAGGTAGCGATTCTTTGTTTCTTACATTTCTTAAGTTTCTTACATTTGGTTGCAATGAACTTTGCCATTCTGAAAAGCTAAGTGCAGCTATAAATTAGACCCAAACACTTTGTGATTTTCGATTACAGTTTGAGAAGTATTAAGCTTTCAAATGCAAAAATTCTGATTTTTGTGCGGTATTTAAAAAACAAAATTTAATATTAATAAAAATAAAAAAATTAATATCAAAAAAAATATATCCTGGGTCCTGGTCCTCTATATTTTTATGTTTAGTGTTACGAACCATGGGAACAGCTTAGTAGCAGCCCCAAGCTTCTCTAACGCTCTCTTTCGCTCTCTTCTCTGGATCTCTTCAAGATGCTCTGCGTAGGGCACGGGCATTACGGCCCGTCGGCCCTGCAGTTAGTCGTGAGCTGATCTTAAGGCTCGTACATACTTCATACATTACTTCTATACATATAGTCTGGCTCCGGTTTTCACATTCACTTTGCATTTTATTTTTCAGCAAAAAGGCATACTTTTCATTTCACAAAAGTCGATTTTTTTACTCCCTGTGCTGTTAAGCGCAAAAATCTATTGCATATTTATTGATAACATTCATATCGTCATTAATCAGTTATTGGCAGTAAAAAACCTGCACAAGTTTTTACGAACTAGTTAACTAAATATATCAACCTCAGCTGAACTTCTTGATTTCCACCAATCTTTAATTTTTTATCAATATGAAATAGTTTCTAAGTTTCAATATTATTTGAAACGAGAAGGAACGTGTGAGTCGCTTCTGGTGACGCGACTCTACTTATACCCGTACTCAGTCAGTATATACATTTTTGAGCTTATAATTTTTTATAATTTTAAAATTAAAAAAAAATATTTTAGTTTTACGTTTTTTTGCTACATCTACATATACTATGTACCATTTAGATTCTACATCTCCTCCGCTAGGGGTTGCTCGCGCACTGAACGAGGTAGAGTGTGCGAGCGAGAAAGAGAATGAGTAGCGTGGTCGCTACTGGCAGGAGGGGGCGGCGGAAGCAACTGAAAATTAATTTCTTCATTCTGGCTATAATTATGATCCGATCGGATTCAGATTAGGCAATCTGGTAGATATGGGCATTCTCTACGATACTGCGTTTTTAGTTTTATCGTATCTTTAAAATTGTGTCTGCCACAGATTTTCGTCTTTTGTGTGGGCGGATGGGGGCGGGGCGAAATTTTGAAATACACTTGTAGCAGTGTGATATCACATGAGTATGAAAATTAAATTTTGTTTCTCTAGCTCTTAGTCTCTGAGATCTAGGCGCTCATCAAGACGGACAGACGGACATGGCTATATCGACTCGGCTATTGATGCTGATCAAGAATATATATACTTTATTGGGTCGGAAACGTTTCCTTCTCTGCGTTACACACATCCACTTTTACCAAAAATCTAACATATCCCTTAACTCTTTTTTGAGTACGGGTATAAAAATCGACGAAATAAATTTTTTGAATGTATATTTACCCAAAAATTTGTATTTTCTTTTCGTGGTAGCAACCTCCAAACATTAAACTAAAAATTTGAAAAAATTGTATAATTTTATTGAATAACAAAGAACAAAATTGGGGGGTGTCCACTTGAAAAAATGGAAAAAAAAATTTGTTGGTCAAATTTTGGCCCAGCCTAATATATATTCGAACCTGCTCGGCCTTTTTATTCAATTCAATAGCTATTAAAAAAGTTTATCGAGAACTTGTGACATCTGTCTCCATCCGTCTTCAATCTTTCTGTGTTCGAAGACATGTTTTTTCACAATTAATTGGTAAAAACAAACTCAGCAAAAAAGATTGTAAGAAATTATATACAATATTGATTAATTTTGACTCTAAGATTGCCGATATATGGGGAGTACCGCAAAAATATAAAATATTTTGAAAAACAAAACACATTTATTAATTTTGACCTCCACCTATTTTTTCATAAACATAAATAATTTACCAAAACATTCTGAAATATTTGTAACTAATAAAATATTTTTTATTTGTAAGTTGAGTTTTTAAAGTTCTATATTTGAAAAATAACATTTTTTAAATTATTCCGCTGATTTATTTTCTAAAAAATATTACCTAATATTAATATTAAATTTATTTTTTAAGTCATTCATTATTTCCTGCCAGACTGGCAGAACCGACCATTGTGCGTAGCAACAGATGTTTCAAGATGTTCAAGATGTTTATTTATGCAAATTCATGACACATTTATACATGCAATTTCAATTATAATTTAAGTCATTTTTCAAACTAATATCTACAGCCTTCGACAAAAAACAAAAACTCAATATGGCAACTTATTTATGGAAATAATTATTCGTAATGCGTAAATTTACTATTATTTATGACGTACAGTTTGAATTCCACATCCATAAAAATACATGCGCTGATTATCTAGCAACATCCCTTTTATATCAGCTATGCATGTGCATCCAACACGAATGTATTGACGTGTTCTCAAATTGATCCTATATATTTGTTTATCTACACTGCATGAATAAGCAAATAGTTGAGACATGTCACTATCATTTTCCTGCTCTAATGATACTGCATTAACCTGCGCATTGTGCAGACCCAAAAATTCCGTGTTCTGCTGAACTGTTGAGTTATCCAAATTTAGAATTGTATGCTGTATATTTTCGTCGTCTCCGCCAGATAAAACGTGCAAAAGCTGTCCATAAATTTTTATATCTAGGGTATTAATGCCACCGTTGTGTAGTTGGAGCTGAAAACGTTTTGTGGAAAGCGTCTGGTCAAAACCGTAAATATCCCCGTTTGTTGTTGTGATAAGCAATATTCTTTTGCTATTGATCCACTGCATTTTAAGTGGACATATTTTCATGTCTAGAAAATTAATTAAGTGTAATTCTGAGGGTCTTTCAAAAACCCAACGATAAAGACGAATTTTTCCCTCAGCACTGGCTATATATAACGTAAAAATACCCGAAAGGGTATGTTGTGCGATGTCAATTGCCATCAGTCTTGCTTCAAGAGAACAGGTTTTTGACACAGAAGTATTGAGAATTTTGTGGGTACACAGCTCACTCACATGATACGCACTAGCAACTGTAACGTCAATTTGATTAATGCAAAGTTGAGATCGTCCGCCGACTGAGAAAATAAGCCACGTAAACACATTATTTTCAAATTTATAGAGACAAGTCTCTAAGCAACGTACACTTGAAATGTGCGAGTGAACTTCGGCACAATGAATTAAATTATCGTCGACTAGTTTAGAAATCTTTATAATATTATCATCTCCTGCTGATAGAATTAAAGGTGTCAGTACATTGTGGGCCGAAAAAAGTTTTATTGTGTTGCAATTGCGGGTGTGCCAGTTAATACGCTTTAAATTTATCTGGCTGACTTCATTGTAAAGTGAGGTACGGCAAAACAACACCTTTTTTTGTTTTATAAAACATATATAAAGTATATCATTGTGTAGATTGTAGTCCCAGTAACGATGACCACCCCCACAAGCCATCTGCACAAGCACATCGTATTGACGCGACCAGGCTACAATATGATTATCATTGAAGCCAAGAAGTACATCTTCACTTGGGGACGCTTCAACCCAACCTAGTGGGACGCTCTCCCGTTTCAAGACTGTTAAAGTATAATCAGCTAATTTCAAACGTAGATATTTTAAATACGGCTCGTGGCCTCCACTCATTACGTAGACTTCCTGACTATTTATATTCAATAACTTAAAAAAAGTTGAGCCCATGTTTCCATGCAAACATTTAACGATGTTTTTCAACTCAAAATTCTGCCCAGCACCGCGGTAGTAAACCATGACATGACCCTTACGATTACTTAAAAAGAGATATTTTTCTAACACAAGCAAGGCAGAAGTTGTCCAGGACCTATCAAAATCATTTAACAAAATAGGTGAATCCAAATCCAGCTCACGTCCCTTTAGAAGCTGGCAATTTCCTAAGTCATCGGATACAAGGTAATGTTCTTTGGCTAAAAAATGAAATGCTCGAATTGTGCCTTTCAATCTTAGACCATCAAACAAAATCTCGAAGTTTTGTTTTTGCTTATTGTAACTGTGTAATGTTATTCTCTGATAACCACAAGTAGCAATAACTCCGTCAAACACTGCGAGCACTGTACGTTTGTAGTAGGGAAAGTTCGACACTAGATGCCACTTATCCACATGCGGCGATATTTTTGCTGGGTTCATATAAAATAAGCGATTTTTGCTACTTAGACCAACAATAGTCTTATTATTAACGAATTTTACCTTTCCGATAAACTCACTTGTGGCACCTATGTCATCCATTATAGTTAATTCATTTTTCTGTCGGGTAAAAACGTTCTTAATGCTATAAGAAACTATATTTCCTATAGAACTGGTACTATAGAGTGTAGAAGTGGCCTTGTGAAAACCTAGCCGCCATATAGGTGCCCCAAATTGTTGCTGACGTTTTAATAACAAATCACCGGAACAGTTCCAAATGCACACATAAGAATCCTCACCGCCACTAATTACATATACTTGGCCACCTGCATCATAAATGGTTTGAATCGTGTTACCGTCCTTTTTTGTTAGGAAATCTTACCATTTTCGACGACGATAGAACACATAACTCGTGAAGTATGACCAAAGCAGCTAAACATAGGTTGTACATAGGCCGTCTTCCATGGCCCGACCTTTTCAATTTTCCAAAACTTCACAGAACGATCATCAGATGTAGTAACTAAAATCTTCGACGCCAGGTTAAGATTGATGGAGTAGATAACCCCATTATGTGCTTGAATTCTTAACAGCAATGGATAAATTTTTTTTAAATTAATTGCATCGATATCTATAGCACAATGTGTTTGCCAAATCAAAAATTCACCGAACGCATTCCCACTTATTATTGCCAAATCAATATAGTTGTTTCCATACAGGACCGTATGGTAAAGCATTGAGCAATCGGTACAAATTGCTAATTCCAACACAGAGCAGACTACCTTTGATGAAATGCTGAACTCAAGGTATAGGAGTGCACTGTGAGACATGTGCAAAACAAACTTCCAAGTATTTTTTTCATCATTGTCAAAAACTACCGCAGCATTGATCCAGTCTTGTGTTTCGCCCTCGTAAATTAATTGAAACGGCTCAATTTTCTCATTTACGTTATAAATTAATAACGAGAACGCATTTTCGCCATATAGCAATAACAGGTGTTTTGAGTCATGGCAAGAACTCAATGCAAATCCATGTACTTTTGATTGACGAGCGTCTAATGGCAATTGAACGGATGCTGTCGGGGTATGCAACACTGCCTGATTTCCATGGCCTCCACATAAAAACATTACAAAAATATTTACTATACGTATATGCATCCGTATATGGAAATACTTACCGACCAATATAAATTTGGATGACACGTGCAAACCTAATACGTCAGAAATTAACGTCATATCGAATTCCGAATTCAAGAAAGTGAATTAAAATATTAGATACTCTTTGTACCAGCACAAACTTATTTCTCGATGTTACTCATTCAGAATCTGGGGATAGCTATAAATATGGGTTGCGCAGACAAGGAAAATGTTGCCACAGGAACTACGAATTTTGATGCAGCGTAAGCTTATGTGTCTACGGTTGAGTTATGGAGTTATTGCGTTTTGGACAAAACTCAGTTTTTTTAAAATAGGTTTAGAGCCTAGTGGCAACGTGACCGTGACGATAACGATAAAAAATAAATACTATTAAATACCATTTCAGTTTCGAGAAATACCATTTAAATACCATAAACTTAAAACATTAATTTCAAGTTTTTTGTCTGTTTATATATATAAAAAATATAATTCAGACAATTACAAAACATATTTTTGATTTGATCTAGTGTTTCCTTTATTTCAATAACATTATAAACTTATAAATTTAGTTAATATACATACATACATTAGTTTAAATTAAAACAGTCTTTCCATTTCATATGTTTTCAATAGTCTCTCTTACAAATTACATATTATATTATTAACCGTACTCCATTTCTTCTTCAATAGCATGAGCCATATTATAGGCTGGCTCACAATTAAAACAACCATAAACATCTCGAAGGCTTTGCCTAAAGCCTAGTACTCAGATCGAAAAACTGTTTGCCAGCAAATGAATGTCATATATTCTTCGAGCAGCCAGTGTGTGACCAGAGGTGTGCACTGCATTCCGAACGGTAACTCTGCTCAGACAGCTTCTTGGTTTTGTTTAAAGTTAATAAAATGCACTTCTTCGGCTGGGGCCGCTCTTCCCCAGCCATATCCTGGGCTCACCAATATTTTATTGGCAAGGTAATGTGTCTGACTATCAGCAGCAGCAGATAGCGACGCCTCCCGTGCCGGACACCGTGAAGAAAAATGTTTTGAAAACAATATTTGTTTTCTATTTATGAAAATTAAAAAAAAAATTAAATTATAATATCCATATAATTGTCATTCATATAATATGCATTAGCTAGATTCTATTTTTCTTCATTATTAAAATATTTCATTTAGTTTTTTGTTCTCTTATTGCAATGTTTGCTTCGTGTTTGCTGGCAAATTATATCAAATTGAAATCTTTTTCGAGGTGGGTCGAAACATACCAAAAAAACAAGCATATACTTCGGATAGTTTTCCAGTATATACCGCCCTTTTTGTTTTTTGATCTGAGTACTGCCTTCCGTCACTACAGTATATAGATGTGCCAGTTCATACAACAGCTCCCAGCGCTTCGGCTCTGTGAGGCTGAGACACTCGGGTCGGGAGCCAGGCCATTCGGGTCGGGAGCTGGGCCGTTCGGGTCGGGAGCTGAGCCGTTCGGGTCGGGAGCTGAGCCAAATGTATGTGTATGTTGCAAATGTATGTGTGTAAACAGACACGACAAAATTTTGTATCAATTCTTATTTTCCGAAAACGTTTTGAGTTTGTTTTGAGTTTCGTTTCCAGGTTACGTAAATGTGTGTGTGCCATGTATTCACACATACTATGCTTGTGTGTGGGCTCTACAATTTTTGGCCGCTTGAATTGGTTTTTCGTTTTGTTTTGAGGGCTGATGTGATGTAGCGACCTATTCAGGGCCGGATCAACCCTCAACCGGCCCTGGGCAACCATCAATCTGGGGCCCACCTTTATTTTGTATTTTTCTCAGTAGCTATTATATTTTTTATTCATTATTTGGAGTTTTGTTTTTTCAACAAAATGTTTCTGTTATCTCTAGGAGGGCCCTAGGCAACTGCTAATCCGGCCCTGGACCTATTCCCGTCGTCAGACTTCATATTTTCTTGGTGTATTCTCTCGCTCGACTCGACGCGGGTCCGAAGCCGAAAGCAGAGGCAAAGGCTAACCTAAAAGAGAATGGAAGAAATACCCCGCGCGACCGACACAACATCAGCTTTTCAAAACAAAACGAAAAAATATTTTATGAAAGCTTTGAATAAAATAAATGTACACATCTAGTAGAACATTTTCCAGAGATTTAGCGTTAGTGATCTGCACCCAGATGCTGTAAAACTGTTTATAAATCTGCCTAACCTGTTATGGCAGTGTGATTACTATAGGGTTTCTAATGACTCGCATTCGAAAATCGACGAAATTAATGATAAGGTTCTGAAGTTTGAAAGCCTTTATCGGGATCTTAAGTCGGACTTACAGGGCCCTTCCGTCAATTCTAAGCGGGTGAAGCCTTTTAGGAAGGAGGCTAATAAGCCCATGCCAGCGGCTGAGTGGCCGCCACCTCTACGTCGGTCATTGAACCGGAATCAGCTACTGCCATCCCTTTGGACTTGGATGGCTTTGTCACAGTCAGAAAGAAGAAGAGGAAGAATAGAAACAAAAACACTAAGCGTTTTGTTGATGTTGCTCCGAGCTGCGAGCAGCTAAACGTTATGCAAAGTAGCAAGTACATGCATATCGGTAAATTTTCTACCGCGACGGAGCCAGAGGCGGTGCTAAAATTTGTTGCCGAAAAACTTAAGGTGCCGGTAGCGAAAATTTCTTGTGCAAAGCTAGTCAAGCGAGATGCTGATATATCTTCGTTGAAGTTTGTAAACTTTTTACATAGACAGAGGCCGGATGCTGACTTGACAGCAGTTGCTCTCCGCGCTATCATACCGTTGCGGGCGTCCACGCCCACTCAGGAAGGTCCAGTTCCGTCCACTTCAAAAAACCTCCAGTGAGCGGTGCCTCTGGGTTCATGATCGTCGCTTTTCTACAGAATATTCTACCTGCACTTGTCCGCCTCTTTGCTGTAAGCAACCACCCGTGGGATCATATTTGGCATTCTCCGTCGACGCAACGACTAAAACATATGTATTTTTCGCGCTGCGCTTTGTGCGGCTTTCGCTCGGCTGCTGCTGGGTCGAGTGGCGATGCTAGCACTCTCTCATGACTGCGTGAGTGCCTAACGTCACCATCACTTGCGTCGGCGCTGCACTCGACACTTGGGGAGAGTCAGCAGCCCGGCGCTTGCTCTTAAGTGGATCACTCTCTTCAGCGCCACTGTCAACACTTTCAAAAAGAGTGGGTCTCCCCGCCACGTTCCCGCCCAGTCTAATCGACGAGGATGGGATGGGTGGTGTCATTGTGGCCGTTATACGAACCCTACGCTGTGATCCGATTTGTCTCCTTAATGGTGACTCTTTCTTGGATCAGATTGGTGTGTCAGTGCCCGGTCGGTCGGAGACGCTATGTACCAGCGCATCGTATATTCCACCGAATAGCAGCTATGAAGTCTACAAGGTGCACACGACGAATATTGCCAATATACATATATGGTAATCTACTAAGCCGTCAGCATCTCTGCGTTGTTGGCGATTTTAATCTGGGCTCGTTGGTATGGTCCATCGATCAGCAGTCGGCGGCTATGATGCCGAGCAACGTGCATTTGCAGCACGAAATTCTTTTTCTGGATGACTGTTTGTATGGGCTTGACCAAAATAAATAGTTTTTTTAATAGATTAAATAAGATTCTAGAGATTCTAGTTTTTTTTAGTGCGGATATTGATTGCCATGTTGCATGTTGCGAGCTGCCTATTGCAGAATGTGACATGCATCACGTGCCGTTGGTATTCTCAGATAAATTCTGTAGTTACTCGCCCTGGTCTGAACCCAATTTTGAATATATTTTTACTGATGTAAGTTTGAATGCTATACGGGATGACATATTAAACGTAAACTGGGCTTCTTTTCTCTCGCATCCTAGTGCTGACTCTTCTTACAATGTTTTTATTCGTACCGTTCATAATAATGTTGATAGTAATGCTTCCAGAATAGTGCGTGACTCATATAGGCTACCGTGGTATACGAAAGGTCTTGTGAGGTATAAGAATCTGCGTATCAATTTTTTTAAACGATTTAAGAAGACCCGTAACTCTGTTGACTGGGCCAGGTATGTACAGCATAAGCGGGAGTTTGATTTTTTAAATAAAAAATGTTTATAAAATCAGTATATTGCTGACGTTGAAATGGGACATAAGGTTAATCCCAGATCGTTCTGGCATTTCATAAGCTCAAAAAGGTCAACGAGTACTCTTCCTTCAGCTATGAACCTTTAGCTCGACAACTCGAGTAAACCCTACAGTGATGGCATTTCCGCCTTTCTGCTTCGCAACTGCGAAATTGCTTTTTGTGAAACTCTGAAAATTCTCTTCAAAATTTCTTTGGTAACGGGTCAGTTTTGTAGTGAACCCATGCATGTACATATGTAACACTCTGTTATATATATAAATACATATATAAGCGCGTACATATGAGCAGTGACATAAGCAACTTATGTTTATGTTACGCATTTCTTTTGCACAGCAACGATTTACTACTTGAACGCAGATCGGTCAGCTACCAAAACTGCTGAGCAGGCATTTACCCGAACTCAGGCAGAACCCAAACGCCCTAACACTGAGGCGACGGGTCCACCTTTCAAAAGCCCCTTAACGCTGATCATGCATTTTCATTAGACTCAGGCAGAGACCACGCGCACTAATACTTATGCGGTGGTACTCTTTTAATATAATGCGTGGGAGAACATAAAAAATATTCAATAAACATTCTCAATTAATCAACCAAATGAAGCAGTCGTGCTTGCTCTGTGTACTTCTAATAGCCTTTTTACACTGGGCGCGTCTGCTATCGATATCGGCATAGACGCAATGAAGCAGAAAAGGCGTTTACATTGGAAGACGTGCGTCTTGAATTTGGATTTGGGTGTTTGATGACAAGGAAAGATACACAAATTTTTGAAAATCAACAGAATTAAGCAAGACGTCAGGAAAATGGACGAAAAAGAATTGATTCTCATATTTAAATATTATTTTCAGACATTTCATTGTAGAGTTTGTGGGAGTTCTTCTTCAAATTATGAAAACCACCGAAGTTCGTCTCCAGCAGTGTCTTAGTGGCATCAGGGGGTCAGAAAAATTTCATATGATAATAATACAATCAGTTTCAAGTATTTTATTTAATGACTTTATGTATATTTTCACCTTTTTGCACAATCATAAATTTATAGCGCCAAAATTTGATTTTTGATCTACAATTTTTTTTTGTTATTAGTGGTGATAGTTGCGCTGATAGGCAGAAAATCCGAAAAATGAGCAAAAGCAATCGAATATATCGAATAGACGCACATGAATCAGAAACTGACGCAACTTTTTGCCACCACTAGGGCCCTATGCTTAACCTATGTAAAAAAAACTGCGTCTCCAGCAAGACG